GCCTGTATCGTCAAAAGAACACAGCGTTTCACGAGACCAGTTTCATCTCCCTTTTGGAAATTTGTGATCAATAAAATCACAAAGAATTTGCTTTATTTCAAGAAAAAATACAAATTTAAAAACTAGCTGACTTCTGACATTTAGTGGTCAGTTGACAGACATGTCATGGTTTTTTTCATTCAGCTGAAAAGTATTGTTTGTTAATGGAATATGATGTTTTCCCTATTAAAATATATGTCTGAAAACGAAACAATGATCTAGTTGAGAGGTTTCCAAAGTGTGGTCCGAGGACGACTCGTGGCTCTTGGAACCGTTTTGTGTGGCCCGCCCCAACTGCAGCTACAGGTTGATACAAATTTGTCATTTTTAGCATCAGAATTTAAATGACAGATGGAATTCTTCTTTACGCACAACATGTTTTTCTTTATTAGCCGTGTTTTAATGTCACAGCAGTTTATAAATTAAAGTGAGCTAAAAACGCCAAAGCAAGCTGACATACTAATGATAGCACCTAGGATATCATTAGCAAGTTGACCCACCGCAAAATACGCCATGCAGGGTGAAGAAAACATGTGGAAGCTATAATTAGCTACAAAGCTAAAGCTAGCTGAAATAGCAATGATAGCATCTGGGCTAGCACTGACCCAAAACAACTGCCTGTTACTGTGGGTCTCACACCCGTCTACTCCAGGTTACAACAGCCTATTTGATGAAGTTTATGAAAAGATGCTTAAAAAGGAAGATTATTAATATCTGATTCATGACAAGTGGGGCGTTGTTTAACTCTGATCTGGATAACAACTTTTTATTACTTTCTCATTATTTCAGCTTTTTCTGCCACGAGATTGTAATGCTTCTGTTGAGCTTATTTATCAGTTGTGTTTTTATCATGTTAAGCATTTTGAATTACCAAGTCGCGCAAAATGCTGCACACTAAAAAAGACTTGACTTTAATTACAACATATTAAAAATTAAAGTATATAAAGCGCATTAACGTACAAAAGTCACATTTTTATTTGAGAAAAAGATTCATCTCTGGTGGTAAATTCTGACCTGTTTGTTCGGTTTTGATGGTTTGCATCAAACACGTGTGAAATCCAAACAAAAATAAGTGATAATCCAAAGTCACCACACAGGATGGGTCCTACTTCTGTACCACACTCCCCATTCCTACGCTTCATTCAATATTTGAATCAAACTTATATGTTTCCTGGCTTTAAAATCCACTTAATGTCTCTGTGAGTCTTCATTTTCCCACCACCAAATGGTTCCACATGAGCACCATAAAAGGTTTTGCTTTGGGCACCCAAATGGCTAGCACCGGCCCTGCGTTTGGGTGCTGCTGTAAAATACAAACCACAGGAAGGCCAACAAATTCAACAAAACTATATTTTACAACAAAAAAAAAACACACACACAACACGTGGTCCATGCTGGGAAACAAGTGGGAAAACACGGAGGGTTGTTTTGTGAATTGATGCCTAAACACACACACACACACACACACACACACACAGTTGAGAGGAGCGCGGGGTTAATTCAACACACACACACAAACACAAACACACACAGTCAGCCACTCACCTTACTCTGAGTTCAACTTTCTCCTCACTAATAATGCTTCTTTATCCCAGCTCAGGTCAAGTTCCAGTAGTTCCTCCAGACTGTCCAGTGTTGCTGCTGCTGCGCGCAGAGACCAGCAGCGTTTTCTCTTTTTTTGTTCCCCCCCACCTCCTCCCCGAAGTAACAACAGAATATCCCACAGTCCGGTCCAGCACCGACCACTTTTCTGCGCTTCACACACTAAAGCGCTTCATGAAGGAAACACCGCTTTCCTTCTCCGTGCGGCGCTCAGAGGAAAGTCTGACGAAGTGAAGCGGGCTCCCTGCGGCTCCCCCTCGGCGAGCTTCGACCCCCTACAGCCGGTGAATGGTGCCTTGAAATGCTTGGAGTCGCTCCGAGTGCCCAGATTTCCACCGGCGTCAAAAGGGGATGGGCAGAGGGGAAGGGACAATGGTGCTTTCAGGTACCCGTGGGATTCTCTACAACGAGCTGCTACTGAATTCATCCCGGCTCAGGGGGGAAGAAGAAAAACACTAGGAGTGAGATGTCCCGTCCTGAGGGTTGGACTAGAAAAAACATATTAAGAGATATTTTTTCAGGTATTTTTGCTGCAGATTCAGCCCGGTTTGTAAATATGATCTAACATCGAAAGCCAGCGCTTAAATCACAATAAAAACTGGTAATGATGATAATAAAAACATTAGAAATATGTCCCTGTGAAAGTGATTAATCGAATAAGCAACTGTGGGTAGAGGATCCCAGAAAAACAATTGTACTCAAGTAAGAGTAGCATTTCTTCAACATATTTTTTTTTACTGAAGTTACTGTAAAACGCATCCATTCAAAAAATGATTCTAGTAAGAGTAAAAAAACCGCATTTGGTAAAAAGTCTACTGAAGTACTGAATAATGGATCAAATTGTCAATCATTTAATATTTGTAAAATGCATTAATTGGAAGGACCAAAATATAAAGCTAAGTAGAAATTTTGGTACTTTAAGAATAAAAATGACAACAATTCATATAGTAACAAAAACAAAACAAAAACAGATAAACTTTCAAAATCAGTTTTTTTCAATAATAAAAAAAAAAACTTATGAAATTCTAACACAAACTGCAGCTGTGTGTCTGTGTCTGGTGACTTTTTTGTTAAAACATGTTTGTTCCTCATTAGAGAGACCAGACATTTTACTCAATACTTCAAAATAAAATTACTCAAGCAAAAGTAAAAAAGTACAGTTTGGTAAAAAAAAAAAAAGTCCTAAAAATCCCCTCCACCCCTTAAACAAAAGTTAATCAAGTAAATCTAACTGAGTAAATGCAACTAGTTACTTTCATACTTTCCAACAAATAAGTTTGATCATCTTTACCTTAGTGTCATTTTTCACCACATTCAAAGGTTTTCAAGCAGTATCTTAAAAAAAAACATAAAAATCATAAAAATCATCCTCATCAATGATGTGAAATGAGAGAAACAGAGATGGTGGTGGAGAAGTGGCTGAAGCGGCTTCCCCCTAGTGGCCGACGAGGAACATACACCTGATTCCTGGGCCAAGGTTTGACCTCCTGGTTTGACCTCCTGGTCAGATTGCTTGGACAAATGAATGAGATCTGGAGTCCACAGCGTGTGGCTCTTTGGACCTTCCACAATGGCTCCGGATTACGTTGATTCAAACTTAAAAGGAACCAGTTCATTATTTACTGATATCATAATAAGTGATTTTTTTTAAATTAAAAATATTTAACTGCAATATTTGAACTAACTGTTCAAATATTGCAGGATAATGCATGTTTTAGATAAACTCTTTTATTTTTACTCTGAATTCACATAGCGGCCTAGAAACGGCGATTCTGGGAAACAGGGGGGAATGGTGGGGGGTCTAGCATTCATAGCAGGGTGTCAGGGAGAAGTTGGAGAAAGTGAAAAAACGGAGTGTGAATGAGTGAGCCTGTCTGTCAGAGGGCAACGCTCTGCATTCACATCCCAGTGAAAAACACTGAGCCATTCATCGCCAAGCGCTCGGCAAAGAGAGAGGCCGGCCGGCGATTGGATGTGATGGGGGATGGAGGGTCAGGAGGTTGGCTTCCAGAGGGATGGGAGCATGCATGGGGGGAGGTGTGGGGCAGAGGGGCAGAGGGGCATCTCTTTCCTCTGCCTGCTGTCTCACAACCGCGGACAAATCTGTCAAACGCCGAATTATGTGGTCACCTCTAACCTGCAGCCATTTTCTGTTCCTGCTTGTATTCGCAAGGCTGGTGGCAGGTTGAATATTGTATAAAAAAATAATAAAATGTGAGGTGAATATATTAATATTTTCCAAAGCCTAACTCTGACATCTGATGGATTTTGACTAATAGCCTGGTAATAACTAACAATGATCTCCTAATAACACCTGCAGTTATAATTAAAATCCAGATTCAGAAATACTTTATTGATCCCAAAGGAGGGGAAAAAAATGTTGTTGTCGCTCATACTAATTCAAACAAAATTTCAAAAAGTTATTGTAGATAGTGATGGCTAATAGAAGGAAAGATCTTCTGTTTCTCTAAGAGACTAAAGAAGAGGATGGTCAGGGTTGTCCAGAATTTTATTGATTTTGCGTCATAATCTCCAGGGAATCCTCAGTTGTCACCAGAACAGAACCAGACCCAGAACAGAACCACTCTACTTTTACAGACCTGTTGTCATGGCAACAGGCAGGCGTTCAAGCACATAAGGAGGAATGAGCACCGAAAAAAAAAAAAAAATGTTTCCAATCAATGCTAAACGTAAACGTAAAAACACCAAACCCAGAGCATTCAGCCCGTTACCTTTTGGTAACATCTGTGCTCAGGCGTGTGATTGACCTGTCGGTGTGTGTTTGGGGGGGGGGGTGTTGTTTTAACTGAACCGTAACACGGGACTGTGTGGTGCATGTGCATCTTTAACAGGCACCTGTTATAGATGTGAAAGTCAAGTTTCACTGACCTGTGAAACATGATATTCTTGGACCTTTTGTTATCTGGCTGTCGTAGTGTTGACAACTAATAACAAAACATTGTGTCCGTCTTTTAGATTTATTGCCTGACCCGAATCCCGACGGGAACGCATGTCGGGGGCACTATGTAGATCACGTGACGTCCAATTCAGCGATATCTGTAAATATGAATGGCGCTGCTTTCTGTTCTCGCACTTCGCTCCCACTCCGCGCTCAGAACGTCCCCAGCAAGCTGGAGTCAAGTTACATCGAGTTGCATTCAATGTTGTCGGAAAAAAGAGCTTCTCGTTCTTATTATCTGATTTGCTTGAGCTATTTCCTGCATTCAGTCACCAGCGAGGGTGGCAAATCAATAGGGTCGCAAGGATTTATGTCCGGGGAGCAACTGTTACCCCAGTAGTCCCGCCCTTGCGATAATGCGTTTACATTAACTTGGTAACCGCCAATAAAATCAAAATAAGCAACGGGGTGTGCGTAAGCGGGAACGAGCACTGTACGTGCGCGCTATCTCAGCACAGTGACAAATATGGCGGCCTCCGCCGGATCAGGTAATCATTCTTTCTGCCTTTACCGACAGTTTTTAGCAGTACGTTGGCAAATATCTTTCCTTCCCGGTGGAGTTTGTAAGGCGCACCGGTTATCCCTTCATTGGTTATCGGCTTTATTAGAGTCCGGCAGCCCTGAAGTCAGATTTCCTCCGTGGTTGAAAGTGGCAGGATGCTGTCACCGATGGTGCTCATAGCTAGCTAGCAGGTCGGACCGGTCCAGAGTCTCAGCAGCTGCTTCGAAGCTCCGTTAGACTCATTGTCCTGGTCCATCTCAGCGTTCGGAGGGAAGGCTGAAATATTCCACAGTTTAAATCAGGGTTTTTTACGGTTTATGTGGTCTCCGAGCGGTGACGCCCCGTGCTATCTGAGGCGGCAGCTGTATCATGAGATGAGCCCACTGGACCCACGACGTTACACCTAAAACTTTATGCACATGTTTATCCTTTTGATAGCTCTAACAACATCTGTACCCGAGTTAAAACTTTAGTTTCTCCCAGTTGGACCACTTAAAAGTCTGTATAAACACCGAGCCTCTCCTCAGCTGCGTCTGTGTGCCTCTATCGCGTTTAATATATTTATTAAATTCTACCACCTGCGCAGCTTTATGTCCTTGCCAGCAGAGGGCGCACGCACAATTAAACGAAGCGGAGTCTATTGAAATGCGACCAGGAAGAAGATGTCTGGCGCAAGCCAGTCAAACAAGGAAGAAGATAACAATAGTAGTGGTAGAGATATGGTTTCAATGAGTCGCCGAATCTGTGGCGTTCTAATTGAAAAGCTACGAGCTTAAAAAAGAAAGTATTTTGTGAATGAAGACGAGTACATCTTTATCCGCACACAGCACCAACTCTTTTAGACAGAGGTTACATCGGATTAGCGGATATTAAAAATGTTTTCACATGTTCTCCTCTCCGACATGAAACAAGCCACACAAACATAAGATTTGAAGCATGAGGATTTGTGTAACTTTGTATGCTTTGATCCCAGTAAACGTGCCTCATTTTATACATAGTTCCTTAGTAAAGATGGAAATGTGGAAACCACTAGTTGAGACTGGGACCATATAATACCAGAAAAATCATCTGGTTAAAATATTATCATTCAATATTGATATTGGTGATATTGGCATTGTGCAGCTGTGGTTTGAGACAAAGCTTCTTTCTCTGAAGGCTCTGAAAAAGCCCTGAGGACTGGAGTTGAAAAGTACTGATGTATTCATTTTTCAGTGTGTTTCTTTTTCTCTCTCTGTGTGTAACAGGCATTGTTGTTCCTCGCAGCTTTCGGCTGCTGGAGGAGTTGGAAGAAGGTCAGAAAGGTGGTGGAGACGGTACTGTGAGCTGGGGCCTTGCTGACGATGACGACATGATGCTAACTCACTGGAACGGCATGATTATCGGCCCTGCTAAGGTGAGCCCCCTCCTGGCCCACACACACAGAACACGTTTTTAAAATGGAACAAAGTGTTTTAACTCTGAATAAATAGGTGATTAAACCATAGTCGTACCTAGAGTTACTACATCTAAAGGTTTTTGGCTGCCAGCACATTTTTGTCTGGACATGAACTTAATGCTGGTGAACTTGTAATTTGTATCAGCTGAGCCCACTTTCCTGAAAATCTAAGCAATGTACCAATCAGAAACATTTTCACTGTCCCTGCACCAGAGGTTCCTGAAAATAACTTTTCAGGCTGGTTCTGGTGGAAACCCAACTCCAGAAATTCCTGCTCTCTCTCATTTTTTGCTCTGCTGGACCATGCTATGGCGTGAAGCTTTGTGAATAATCACGTGAAGAACCAACATATAAGTTTGATCGTTTTGGCAACTCCGAGGCTTAATGTCAGGAATGAGACTCTTGAGTTCAAAGGCTTCTGACTCTTGAAGCCTTTGAATGCGGTCCAAAGCAAAGCTGGAACCAGTCAGAGGTTCATGTTGGGGGTTTTTCTCTTTGTTGTATTTATGTGTACTTTTTTTTTGTCCTGTTTGCATTTCAGACTGTTTATGAAGGCAGAATATACAGTCTGAAAATAGACTGCGGTCACAGATACCCTGAATACCCGCCTATGGTCCGCTTTGTTAACAAAATCAACTTGACTGGTGTTAACAGTTCAACTGGTGTGGTGAGTGTCTTTTTTTTTTTCTTCACGTTTTTGCTCTTCTGATTGCACAATAGTCTTTGATGCTAGCCCATGTGACTTATGGGTAGGGTTTGATGAAAAGTTACTTATTTGAAATATTTCAGTAATGGAAAAGCACATTTTCCCTCATTTGTAAGGTGATGCATGTTGGGATGCACAATATTATTGGCATATTAGCTGTAAATTATAATATCGTACATTGGCCATTCCGTCAAAATAACTCACAGGTGTAACAAGAGTTGTTTTTATGACAAACCAGTGACGATATCGGCAGCACAGCACAACGTCATAAGAAGCTGTTTAGTATTAATCCATGACTCACTTGTTGCTTGTGAATAGGTTGAATTTAGTTTTGTGAAGATTTACAAATTTGCACTGTTTATGTTGTCACTGTCTAAGAGAGCAGATGCAATGAATAAATTTGTCATAAAAAATGCAAGTTGAAAGTTTTGCATCATTTTCAGCTTCCTTTGTAGCATTTTACATGTGGTATCCGATGCAAAACTAATGACAAAAATAATGCAGTATAGAAAAGCCATATAGTTTCAGTAATTAGGTATAGAAAAATATATCAGTATTGGTATCGGTTATCGGCCAAATGAGTTTTAGTATATCGGCATGTTGACCAAAAATTCAATGTCATGCCTCCCCAGTTGCATGTATTTACAAAGAAAGAACTAAATAATTATACAAACAGTATTTAAAAACATGAACATCAAACAAAATCATCATTCTTTTTATTTTTTGAAGTGACACAACGTGATTGTTTTTCATTTCCATCGGATGGAAATTAAATGCAATTTCCACGAAATCAGTTGTAACGACAAACCCCAAGTAAATTGAGTTGTAACAAATATTCGACGCTGAAGTGAAACGCGTGAAACAAAGGGAGCGTTTCTTCCCTCAGGTGGACCTAAAGTCTGTGCTGGCGCTGTCCCGGTGGAAGAACTCCTACAACATCAAGATGGTGCTGCAGGAGCTCAGGCAGCACATGATGATGAAAGAGAACAGCAGGCTCTCCCAGCCGCCTGAGGGCCAGGTCTACAGCAACTGAAGCTGCTGCTACTGTCAACACTCTCTCGCACACACACACACAGATATATATATCTACATATATATGCACACACACTCTCCAACCTCTTCAACCATCATGTTATCCAAGACTGTCAGCCCCAACTTCTTCCTTTCAGAGCCTTCCGTTGCCCGGAGAACCCAGCTGCCTCGTCCGCCGCCCGGCCATCTGTCATGCTGACCAGCCGTATAAAACAAAAAAAAAGAAACAAAAGTCTTAGTCAGCTTTTACTTTTCCCTCTTTGCATCCAGATCGCGGCCTATCAAATGGTCTGACGGAATGTATCGGTGTATTCTGGGATCATGTGAGGCTGTTGACATTTTGTGCATGACGAACCACAACCTGCTGCAAACGATCCCCGGCAAAAAGGCGGAAAAACCAACAATTTACCACTTCGCTTCAGTTACCTTCACATTTCCAATCGTTCCCGTTTCTTCCTGGTGTAAACTTCTCGGGACCTTTCTTGAACTAAGCATGTCCAGTACAAGAAGATGAACGTCTTCTTGACGCTACGTATCCGAAAGCCAGAGTGTTGCTGCTTTGTTTGAACTTGTTTGAACTTTATTTTGCCAAACATCTGTGCCATATGTTTCATAGTGCTTTGTGCTAATTGTTAGCAACCACTGGGAAAGAGGGCCAAATGGGGGTTTGGGGAACGTTTTTGTGAGGATCACCACTGGAGAACGTTTTCGTTCAACTTTGTTGTTGTTTTTTTTTTGTTTGTTTGTTTATTTGTTTTTTCCTGTGTATTCCATGGAACTGTCTCTTCTTTCCGTCATTCAGTGAACGCTCACTGAAGACAACGTACGGCTTTGGATGTTTATTTTGTAATGGGGTAGAGCCTAATCAGGGTGACGGTCACCTGTTGCATGGTTTTATTTGAATTAAACATTATTACTTTTGCACACAGTTGTATTTTGTATGTCTGTCTATACACTTTGTGTGGTTGAAATTTCCTTTAAAATGATATATGATTGGAGGCATAAACGGAGAAAAGAATGTGACTGGAATAAATCTTGGTGGATTCAATATTGTCACTGAAATTAACTGACCTTACTTGGTTGGATTTATAGCAGAACTAAATGATGTTGGACGTCACATCTTGAGCAAAAATGAACAAGTTGGGAAAATGTTAAAACAGTCGTTTAGACAAAGTGTTAGACTTCCACCCAATATTACCAGGGTTTCCATAGTGACGCCTCCTCGTTTTGCTCTTGGGGTCCGGTCCAGATCGGGTCAGATCAGTATGAATGTTCTCAGTAGCCAGTTGTACCAGAACCTGTTGCTAAACCCCATCAAATAGTTGAAATATTAATAAATAGCTGTTTCTGCAGTCAACAAATAAAATTAGATAATATTGAACGTCTTTTAATATTAATTATTCCCTTCATTATTTTGTGATTTTTTTTTATAGATATATCTACAATCAAAACCACAGATTTGTGGAGCTAACTTATATACTTAATATACTTAATACTTGTGTTTTTATGACAATAAATGTGACTTTTTGTTCCTCGGCACATCGACCACCGACGATAACTTGACCTCAAGTGAAAATGTATTTCTATAGCACCTTTAGAAATAGATCACAAAAGTGATTAACAAAAGCAAAAAAAAAAAACTAATTAAAAAAATACCTTTAGTTGTTTCCTAAGAGACTGTAACATTTGACTCTGAAAGTTCAAACCAGACTTTTAAAATAAGTCCTGATGTGCAGGAAGCCGGTACAGTGAAAGCAAGAACAGGAGTTATCAGAATCACTATTGCTATTGAAAGTAAAAAGGTTTGATGTGGTGAGAAAAATAATAAAAGAAGATATGAATATTTATCAAAAAGAAAAATGTACGACATTGATGCACCTGTGGAGCAGCAGGTGGATGAAGTGGCTGTGTGATGTCACCGCCTCATGGCTGAAGAACATGTCACCCTACAAGCTTTTCATATCAAGTGGGTTTTAATGAGACTCCTAATAGTCGATTGCCCCTACTTTTGTTTTTGATGAAATGCTGAAATCGCTTTCCACGAGTCAGCAGGTGGCAGGATGGCAGAGTGACGCTCTAAGCAGATGAGGTGTTTAACCCACAAGCCGATCACACTGAACCGCAGAGTTTCAGAGTGGGAGCGGACGGCAGACTGAAGCAGCTCCATTCAGTCCACAGCCCAAAGGAAAACCTTCCTGCGAGGGAGAGTGAGGATGTAACTGGAACCAGGCCGCTGTGACAGCACGCCGGTTATGGGAGCTCAGCAGGGGATCTGTACCTTCACAAGCTGTGTAAGTATTTTCTTCTTTCATGCTAGATGGTGTTGTCATTGGTGATGTTTATGGCTAGTAATAGTGCTGGAGTCAGTGTCTTACTGTAAAATAAAATGTTTCAATAAACATGAAAACAACCTATAAAATGAACGCACAAATGCAAAATGTACAAACTGCTGTTTAATTTATCAACGGTGTTTTAATTGTTTTATAGTTTACGGACGTTTCCCGTCAGTTTTCACTGTTAAACATACACATTTTTCTTTTTCTTTCTTTGTTTTGCTTTACAATGCTCCATCACCTTCTTATGTGGGCTTTCATGTGACAAATCAAAAGCAAATGAGATTTGTTTTGTTTGTCCATCGTGATTATGTTTCATATGAGAAACTGAGAATAATTCAGTGGTCCTCATTTAGATTGGCACTAGATCTAACACAGAGAACCTTACTTAAGTGTAGGTCACATTTATTTTAATCTATCTTTTTATAATTCTTGAATGACACTCTTCAAAAATTACAGCTATAAATTGAAGTAATCCATTGTATTCATAGCAAATATTCAAACTAATGATACTAATAGTAGAAAGAGGAAGTATTAGTACTCGAGATTACTGAACGACCTAATATAATAATAGCAGTAGCTCTCTGTCCAGAGTCTTGCTTTGTGGTAAGAGAGGGATTAACTGTCTTCCAAAAATGTCTTTCTGGTTCTGTCATGGTTGTTTGGTTGTTGTCACGTGACTTCCTTTAAATTGCCATGGCCCAGTTTGTAAGAAGATTAGGCTGACTTTGTTTACCTGCCAGGGGTATTAACATGTTGACAATCCTCTGATGCCTTCCTTCGACTCTGCTCAGCTGTAGTTGCATTGAAGAAAAAAATAAAAATCCCATGTGCAGAACATGTTTGTTGGCTGCTAAGTTGTGCTACCTGTGCAAGATTTTCCCAGTCCAACAAATGGCAATAGGCGATAAATTCACGTATTTGATGTTTGAACCTTTTTCTATCAGAAATTACCAGTGATGTTGAGAAGCCACCCTCTTAAATGGTGTAGTAAAATGTTCTTGTTAAATAATAGCAAAACACGGAGTCAATCAAAGAAATGCGCATTTATCTTTAGATGTTTTATTTCGAAAATCAGAGTGAAAGAAAACTAATGAGATTCTTGGAAGATCAAATCCAGAGAATAAAACTTGAAAAACATACATTTCTGTATGTTTTTGCTTACGTGACCAAGGGAAATACAGTCAATTGGTCATGTATGTATGGAATTTTACATCCTTTGGGATTTCACACATCAGAGAAAAAAAACAAAGAAACTTCTTTTTTTTTCACATCTCCGGCTTGCACCTGTGTAATTGGACAGAGAGAGTTCAGTAAGTTCAACAAATGATAACTTCTCAGAAATCTTTTATTATCAGCTCCTGCTTCCCCAGTAAATAAAACAAAGTTTTCTATTCCCACCACAAGTGTCGTATATCTCAAGTAAGTAATTTTGAGAGTCAGTGGCGTTTAAGAAGAAGAGAAAATGTGGTTCCTAGATGTGTCTGTCTTCCTCCTGTCCGTATAAAGAAATGATTTGTACCTTATCGTTAACCAGTCCTAGTCTTCTAGGCTCATTTCTATTCGCCACAATTCGTTTGTTTCCCCAGATGTGCAGCCACGCTGCGTGTCCAGTCTGCTGCTGCTGTCCAAGCAGCAGGAACTCCACAGTGACTAGAATCATCTACGCCTCCATCCTGTTGTTGGGTACCTTTGTTGCCTGCATAATGCTCTCACCAGGAATGGAGCAGCAACTCAGAAGGGTACGAATAAATTATGCAATCGCGGCGTTGATGGAGTGGTTATGTTTCTGAATAAAAAGGTGACAATGGCGCCCAGGACTTTCAGCTTCCCACGCTGCCTTTCCTTTGGAATATTTATGGAGAATCAGCGGATTTTTAGCTGATAATAGAGTTAGGTTCCAAACAAAAAACATGTACAAATACTGAACCACGATGAGACGCATGTCCACTGTTACCATTCCTCTGAATTGATCTATTTAAGAAAACCCCAACAAGGCCTAAATTGGTTTTAGATACTGTGTAGGGTCAGGTGTCAGCTTTGTTTAAATGTGAAGTGCAATGTTCAGATTGTTCCTCTCTTTTTTCTTTTTTTTTGTCAGGTTCCGGGCTTCTGTGATGACACGGACGGCTTCTTTATTCCAGCCCATCAGCCATACTTGAAGTGTGAGATGTTGGTGGGCTACAAAGCAGTTTACCGCTTCTGCTTCGGCATGAGCATGTGGTTCCTGAGCTTCTCCATTTTTACACTGAACATCAAGACCAGCAGAGACCCTCGTGCTTCCATACACAATGGGTGAGGCCTGAAATAGCGGCAGGTTCCCCAAATGAACCAGACTTTCCAGACAAACAAACTAGAGTTTGATTAAAGCGGAATAAACGGGGCTGATTGTAGTGAATTTACCACACAATCTCATTATCTAACTGAAACTCATCATATTTATTTTCAGATACTGGTTCTACAAGTTTGTTGCCTTGGTGGCAAGTACAGTCGGTGCCTTTTACATTCCAGATGGGCCTTTCACCTACAGTAAGACCTTCATATTTTTGCTCATTAGTGTCTGTCAGATGATTAACGGAATGACCGGTGTGGCTTTGTGTTGTTGCAGCGTGGTTTATCATAGGCTCTGGAGGAGCTTTCTTTTTCATTCTCATCCAACTGGTGCTGCTGGTGGACTTTGCTCACTCATGGAATGAGTCTTGGGTGGAAAATATGGAGAAAGGCAATTCCAGAGGCTGGTACACGGGTCTGTGTCTACAACTGCATTTCTGTGTTCAGTCGTGTCCTTTCAAAGACACCAGTTGTTTCTGCAACATAATTTGCTTTGTGCCGCCTGTTTTTAGTTCTGCTGGCCGTCATGACCCTTAACTACGTCACCGCGTTTACTGCGGTTGTGTTGTGCTTCATCTTCTACGCCAAACCTGATGCTTGCTTCATCAACAAGTTCTTCATCAGCTTCAACGTGATGCTGTGCGTCGTGGCCTCTGTTGTTTCCGTGCTGCGCAAAGTACAGGTACAAGAGATTTGGGCCTCGTCAAACATATTTCAGCGTCACTGAAGCCCTAATATGGGAGGTTCTTAAAATGTACAGACAATATTTAGGTATTGCTTACTTAAATAACTAGAAACGTTAAAATGAATGTAATAATTATGCTCTTAAATCAGCATAATGCAAAATTACAATATGGTTAACTCTGGACTGGTTTAGCCCTGCCATAGCCCCGCCCCTCAACTTTGGGACGGGGGTCAAATGGTCAGGACGTCATTATGTCAACACACAAAATCAATGGTTAATAAAGTTTTGTTGTCATTTTAGCGTTATTTGGAGCTCACGACTTTGCTGTGTCTATTGTTTTGGTAGAGAGAAGGAACAGACACCTCAGTCACACAAAATCTTTTGGAAAATCCCTCTTGATACTGGCGGACGTTGTTGAAGCAGTGGTCCATTAAGTTCTCCCAAAATTGACATTCCCCATTGAAGTGGGTACATTCCAGAGACAAAAGAATTAAATTTAACCAGAGACTTTGAAGAGGCTCTGATGCTGGAATACACGTTAGAACCGAACATTTGGACTTGTTTACGTGTAACTTCGGTTGGAGGGCCTGAAGGATTTGGGTCATTCCCAAAATCACTGGCTCCGGGGCCAGTTGTGACTTGTAATGTGTTTAGCAGGATCCTCTTTGACTGTTGCACAGTCTCATGATAAAAATAATAGATTTTTCTAATAATGAGGCTTCAGAAAAAAACGACTGGTTTAGCTCATAAATGTAAACTACAAGTCCATCCGGGGCTCCTTAACAAAGTGGGCACCAATCTTGCGAAGCAGTCCAAAGTCAACACTTTTTCTTGTATTAAATGTTTTTTTTTTTTATCACATTTTTTAACTCTTTTCTTTCTTAGTTTTTTAAACAAAAAGCAAACACATGAGACCTGTCTAGCAAGTGCAGGATTAATAGATTCATGTTCTTTCCATTCGCAGGAATTTCAGCCTCATTCAGGATTACTCCAGTCGTCTTTCATCACCCTGTACACAGTGTTCCTGACCTGGTCTGCTATGACCAATGAGCCTGGTGAGAATATACTGTACATTTATATGGAGATTGCTCTAGATATTGACCTATAGATTCCAGACTTTAACAACGCTGACACCATTTCCTGAATTTTGCAGAAAGCATGTGTCGTGATTGAGTTGTGTTGGTTTTATGGCTTTGATACATTTACTATCTGTTCTCCATTTTATTCTTATTTTGTTTTCATCGGCCTGGTTGGGAGGCATTTCAGCTGACTGTTCAGGTTCAAAGTTGTTGCTTTCAGAAAAATATGACCATGTTCCTTAAGGTCTTCTTGTTATTTAGCTTCATTACTTTTGCATGCGTCTTGTGAAGGACTCAAGCAGGATGGTTTGAGTTCAGTTGCTCAGTGATGTGGCTGCAAACATTAGCTTTAGCTTGTAGCGGCCACCGTCTTCTTAATTCAGGATTGTTTGGAGATCCATGAACTTAAAAGCCCATTCTATTTGGAAGACAATAATGTTGATGGTATTACTTTATTTGCTTCTGAAATACGACTTTTGTCTTTCCTATCTCTCATGGGAACTCAAATCGGAAGCAAGAAAGACGCATTTCGCTCATGTGGAAATTGGAAGCTGTAGTTCTAGTCTGTAGTTCTAGTCTGTAGTGGGGGGAACAATTAGTCCTGACAAGTATATATGTTCATAATACACTTACCACCAATGACACAATAAGAGGAAAATAGTCATTTCACTTTTCTACCAAATTTGCTAGCTGCACAATTCTTGTTAAGTGGTAAGTAGTGTAAGTTGTAGTATTTCAAAAGAGCAAAGGAAATCTTATGTTTTTTTGAAGAATAACAATAATTGTTATTAATTTGGTGTTAATAGGTGAATGTTTTTGTTTTTTTTCTGGTAAGGAGCTGCCAGTAGGTATAAATCAGATTTTTACTTTTGTGTTGAATGTCTGTTTTATAATATATTCACCACACAAAAAAAATTACTTGTCTGCCAAATTCACCAAATGCACAATTCTTGTTAAGAATTATAATATTAGTAGCATTTCAGTCGAGCAGAAAAAGACTCATGTTTTTTGAACAATAACATTATATGTTGTTAATCTTTTGCTAAGAGACGAGCACGTTTCCTGGTAGCCAAGTGCCACAAAGTAAATATCTGATTTTTACTTTTATAAAATGTACCAACTGTAAATCCCCTGTGTCTAAGCAGATAAGCATTATTTATGTTTTATAAACAATAATATTACTTATTAATTTGTTATTAAGAGATGAGAGTTTTTTTCTGGTAACGAACTGCCACAAAGTATAAATCACATTTTTATTATTTGTTGAATGTCTGTTTTATAATTATTTATCATCAATGATAAAAAAAAAAAAAAACATTTTCACTTTTTTGCCAAATTCACCAACTGCACAGTACTGTGAAGTAGTACGTAGTTTGAGATAAATAGTCATAGTCGTTTTAGGCAGCTCATTGTGCACATGGGTGATCCTAAGGTTTTATACCAGTCTAGTCAATCAGTCACTGCTTTGCTGAAGTTTCACAAATCGCAAACTTGGTTCCAAACATTGTGCTGTCAGAAAAAAATGTCTTTCAACGATTGTTTCTGCATTAGCGGTTTTCTCTTTGTGGTGCAGGCTGAGTATTTTTGTGTTGCCGTGTTCAGATCGAGAGTGCAACCCCAACCTGCTCAGCGTCTTCCAGCAGATCACGGCTCCCACAGTTTGGCCCCCGGAAACGGAAAACCAGACGGCCGTGGTGATCATCGGAGCCGAGGAACCGGTCCACACGTCCCCCTACTTACAGTGGTGGGATGCCCAGAGCATCGTGGGGCTGATTATTTTCGTTCTGTGCATTCTTTACTCAAGGTAAAACAAAACCAAAACATTTAAACCAATTCATTCCCATGAGAATTTTGAAATCAATCTCCTTGATCTCCCGGTTAACGGCAGAAAGCCGCATTTGTCCGGCCTGGGAAAAAAACAGTTTAACTGTGAGCTAAAGAGCATTTTGTGTCCCGAGTGTTTTTCAGACTCAAATCACTGAAAAGAGACAAACATGAGACACAGAGGTTATAGAAACTGATGAAGTTGTATATATTATTTAGCTGTTTTCTGTCCTGGCTTGTTTGGTTAGGTTAGGCCTGTTGAGGTGATTTGAGGTATTTTTTTTTAGTAAAATATGAAAATATCTCAGCTCTGCAGCAAACAAATTACTATTAAGAACGTGTATCAATCAGTGTCGTTGCTTTTAGACTGTTCTGTAGTTTGTTTTAAACCTGTGCTTTGGTAGTGACCAGGTTGTCGTTTGGTGCATATTTCTGCCCAGGTCCATTTTGAAAATGAGATCTGGCTCTCAATGGGGTTTTACCCGGTTAAATAGAGGAAACAAAAACAAAACAAAATTGCAGTTTCACCGTTATGTCACAAATAATCGTAGCCGTGTGAAACATTTCGGACGCCAACGTCTCTTGTCCGCAGCATACGTTCCTCGAACACGAATCAGGTCAACAAGTTGACCATGGCCTCCAAGCAGCCGGCTGTCCTCGTCCAGGGGTCCAGCGGCAGCGACATGTTGGAGGACTCCATGGGGCCCAGGCGGGCGGAGGACAACGAGCAAGACATGGTCCAGTACAGCTACTCCTTCTTCCACTTCATGCTCTTCTTAGCTTCCCTCTACATCATGATGACACTCACCAACTGGTACAGGTCAGTGACCCCTGCACTCTTGGACATTTAGCTCGACGTTGAAGTTTTCATAGGGGACAGTTTGTGGTAGAAACACGTCTCATTCGAAAAATGAGTTGTTTGTGTGCGATTCTCCTTTTCATAGCCCAGACGCAGACTACACCATAACAAGCAAGTGGCCGACCGTGTGGGTAAAGGTCTCCTCCAGCTGGTTGTGTTTGGCCCTTTACATTTGGACCCTTGTGGCCCCTATGATATTTCCCAACCGAGACTTCAGCTGACGCTGTGACGAGGGACAGAATCATTTCTTGCGGAGACGGACCTGGATCGATCGGCTAATCTGTGTGACCCGGATCTGTTTCTGCGATCAGGTTAAGTGTGCCAAAACATAACGTGCAGACGATAATGTTACTTGGACACGTGGCGACGGGCCACTGCTGCACGAAGGCAACGCCGGATACTTTCACAGCCTTGAGATGTGAAAGTATCTCAAGGCCGTGTGACTGAGTCTACTCCCTCGCTTCCAACTAGTTAATGAAATCAGAAACACGCGGGAGTTTCTGAGATCAGCAACATGCAGCGTACAAAATATTCTATCCCAGACAGAAGAAGCAGTTCATCAGCCGCCTGGTGCATTCCACAGAGCTCTCGCTCCTAAACCGCCTGAGGCTGACCGCACAGAGCTCTGCCCACCTCTCTTATGACCTCGCACAGAGTTAGAATAGCCGGTTTCATGAGATTCATGGCACACATCCCATACAGTATTTTTTTTGACTCAAACATGGTCAGTTAGAAGATTAATACTTGAGCACCAACTATAAAGCCTTAAAAATACAAAGATTTTAAAAAGTAAGCTATGTTTAGCCTGCTAGGGGCACAAATAAAGCCTGGTGACCCGCCAGGCTTATAATGCACTGGGAGAAACCCTGTTATGCTCAAGACTTTTCTGATTAGTTCTCATGCTCTAACTAGTAGACGATACGTCGATTAAATTGTGAGTGCAAAACAAATGAAGTTGAAGCCTACTAAAAGCAGTGATGCTCAATCTAATATTTCCAGTAAACAGAGACGGGAGTGTTCAGAGTCAACTGCTGTATTTTTAGGTTTGTGAGATGAGAAAACCGTTTGCATAGATGTTGAGAAGAGAAAATCTATTTTTATTAACAGCTTTGTTTTCCCAGGGTTTATAATTTAAACGAGTCCTTTATGTACCCAACGCCCGTGTAAACAGATATGGGGTCTTATGGAGAAACCCTAACAGGAGCGATATTTATCATTTGTATGATTATTATCAATAATAGAAATAATAGAAATGATGGTGATATCAATTTTTTGTCAATATCTGTGAATGATATTTTGACAACTGTTCGTTATTAAGCTAAAACACGAGAATAATGCTTCATTTTTTTTTAATATTCCGGTGTTTATGGAGTGATATTTGATAAATGATTTTTCCTTTTCAGTGATTGGACTGTCAGTTTGTCTTGAAGGAGTCAAAAGATCCTACATATCTCTGTAGATATGATAAAATTTAACTAGTAATAAATGCCAGGGGAAACTATTAGTGAGTAAAGTTTATTTACAAAGCGCCTTTCACAGATATAAAATCACAAAGCGCTGTACAATAAAAATCTATTTTAAGTTTTTATTTTTAAGCTTTATTTTACCAGGATAAAAAAAAAATACACATTTTTCAAACGAAAGAAACAAGAACAGAAAATCTCTCTAATGTACAATTAACCAAAATTAGTACTTCAGATGCTTCATCGGAAAATTACCATGGTAATGTTATTACTGCGGTAATTACCATGTAGTTACTTTTTGGTTTTATTTTCACTAATATTTTTATGAGACCGAAATCAATAAATGAAAGGTTTTTACGCAATACTAAATTAGAACTCAATAACCTTTTGAATTGTTTATCCGATTGCAGTGATGGATCTAATCGTATTTTGTACTACCAAGATGGCAGCCTAAAACCCATCACCCTCACTGGATGTTAGCTTGCAACAGACATACAGAAGCTAGCAAGCTTTTGGTTTAAAACCATCTTTTAAGTCTTTAAGCATCTTCTTTCTGTGTTGATATCTGTATTCATGACAAGTTCCTATTTTCTGTTAAATTATGAAAAATAATATCATTCATTTCTCAACCTCATTCCATTGCGGTTTTCCGTGGTTTCTGAGGTTCTGTGGGAAATTTGAACACTTCTTTAAGAATAACAGTACAAATAGATTTTGATGCTTTTGAAGCACTCTGCCAACCAGGAACTTGACTTTAAGACTCCTGCTTGTTGACCACGCAGACTTTATTCCATGCTAATCAAATGTATGCTCTTGGAGGATGAGCCTGATCTATACACCGTAATTGGATCAAAAGTTGTGGAAACTTTTATCCACGGTCTCAAAACACACATCCTATCAAATCTTTGGAACAATAAACAGAGGGAACCTACATTTGGAATGTAACATTCAGTACCAATAAAAAGAAGCATCAACAACTTTCAACATTTTATTACCAAGTCAGTTTATTTCATTCATAGCACAACATACAGATTAATAACTTCACCTAGTCATCTGAAACTCACACTAAGTGTTCGTCCGTCCACGTCATGATCACCCCACCATGGACCTCTTCCTCCCTCTCAGCCGCACCTCGTCAAGCTTTTTGATGACTGCCGCTGACATCTTGGAAGTGGCGGCGTAGCTCTTTAGCAGCTTCTCGAACAACACGTCTGTGTTGGGGTGAGTACTGAGGAAAGCCCTCTCCAGGACAAACAGATCCACGCCCTTGTCCTCGGCCAAAGCCGAGATGTAACTCAGGCCGAAGTCGATGAAGACGACCTGCGGTTCCGCGGCCGCCGTCCCGCGCCACAGCAGCATGTTGGAGGTGGTCAGGTCGCCGTGGACGACGTTCTCGTCGTGCATTTTGGCCAAGACCTGACCGACTCTCTCCGCCAGCTGGTGCAGGCCGCGGTCCGCGCAGGAGTTGCGCTGAGCGGAGTTGATGTGGTCACGCAGAGTAGAGGAGCCAACGATGTCCTCCAAGAAGATGCAGTGGTGCTTGTAGTCCACGAAGTAAACGGCCGGAACAGGAATACCTGATGAGGAGAAATGAAACCTGGTCAAGTAAATTACATCAGACTGTTAAAAAAATAAACACCAAACCAATATCAGTTTTGAAGCAAAATTCCGATTTTAATAGTTTCTTTTGTAAAATTATTTCAAAAATCTTAATTCTATTTGAATATAGAACTCTAAGTAGTGGACAGAACTGGGCAAACAAAAACTTTGTGAATTTTCTTCAGAAATGTTTATGTACAAAACACAGCAACCAAAGAGGTTTATGTGTTGCTGTATTTCACACATGTCCAAGTTTAATAAGGTGAGAGAAGAAATTCAATTATGTGTTGTTTTTTTAATTGAGCATAAAAAAAATCATTTACCCCTAAATTGCTATGGAAAGACGGTCGGCCATCTTGATACAATAGAAAACCCAGGTTCATAGGAGAATGGCCGCTTATCGAATAATCGGTAGTCAATTGACATGATCAATCAACTTCAGATGAACTGAATCGATGTTTACTTGGAAGTTTTTGTTGTTAATCTATTTGTTTCGATTAACTGTTATGCTATTTATTTGGGCAGAGATCAAGTGATTTCATTAACCCTTTAAGAGAAGAGATGCTGTGATGATCCCAGGTTATGGTTTCTGATTTCCTCCCGCAGTGAGATCATGCAGATCTCACTAAAATCAAGCACAAACTACATCCCTTCATCAGTAATGAGAACAAATCTGCTTATTTAACGGACATATCATCTAGAACTTTGTTGACGGTCCAGAACACGTGATGTGGAAACGCTCTGCGTGTTTGTATAAATGGGTCAAAGAGCAGCGGGTCAGCGTCTGCAGAGCTTCCCACCTGCTTTCCTGCAGCGCAGGATGGACCGGACCTCGTGGGCTGTCCTGCGGGAGTTCAGCTTGTCGTCCAGCTCCGGGTGTCGGTAGAGTTTCGGGAACCTTTCTTTGATTATTGTCGGCTTTCCCAAGAACTCTGCCCGATACACGCGAGCTTCCGCTCCTTGTGTGAGCAACTCCGCCTTGGAGAGAAACTGTGGGACCGCCATGACAACAGAGAACGGTTTTCTTCTTCGGTTTTCATGGCGGTTGGCGAGCAACGCTGAGATGTGCATTACCGCCACCCACTGGGATGGAGTGGTATGGAGGACCAGCGCCAAAAATAAAAGCGGAAATATATATATATATATATATTTTGCCTTACACAACCTTTTTCGTCAATAAATATATTTATATATTTGTTTCGTGTGTTAATGCGATTACCTGCTGTGTGAATGTAGCCTCAAATAATCTTACAGTATGGCTGGATCGTCTAAGTTGTGATTAGTCTATCAATAATTAATGATTAGTTGTTTTTTTTTTGCTTTAATTATCTGAAAACCTGCCAAATGTTTCCTTTCCACCCCGTTATTATATATATATATATATATATATATATATATATATATATATATATATATATATATATATATATATATATATATATATATATATGAGTGGAAACTTGAAACTGCTGCTGTTCCAGTTACTCAGCAGGTCGTTTGAAAACGCAGAAGAACCAAGGATTATTGAGAGAAGAAGAAACATTGAATGGTTTGAGTACCACTGGATAATATTTTTAATTGATTGTTGGAAAAGATCATTAATAACAAAACATTTAATGATTCATTTTCACACGAGATTAAAAAAATAAATAAAAATACAACACGTCCAGGATCATAGTTTGTATAATCCTAAATATCAGGAATAAATACAAATTTATAAATGAGTATGATGTGTTAGAAAGATACGAGTCGATTTAAAGTTGAGACAATAAGTTGGAAAAGACACAGGACAAATAAAACAGTACTTGGCCTATTTATTTTCTCCACTTCACTTTCTGATCATTTGGCGTCTCTCTACAGGCGAATCGGTCAGAAAAACTGAGATGTTGTCGGATCCCTGCCTCTCTGGCTGCACTGCAGGTTCCTGCGAACAAAGTCCAACACCCAAAAAAACATTTGTAACTATTTGTTGAATCTCAAGAGGAAATGCGTAATAAATAATTCATTTTTAATGTTCATCAATTTAAAAAAACAATTAAATGAAAGGTGCATGGACACGTTGTACACCTGCCCCATCTCGTTGTTTGATGTCAAACTCAAAGAGATGGACTACTTTGGTTCCCAAAGTGTGGGCCGCGCCCCCTAGTGGGGAAGCAGTGCCATTGCAGGGGGGATGAGAGAAGCGGTATGGATAAAAAAAAAAGTTACACTAAAGTGTTTTTGCTGTAAAGATGGTTTGTATTGTGTTTTGTTGCAACACACTACAAACCTGAAGTGTGAAATAAACTTCAGTGAAGTTTGAAAACAAAATATGTGTACAGGTTTATGTCTGGTTGAACGATGTGTGCCCAGTTGATTTTTTTTTCTGTGTTGGGCGGTGGGTTACATTGTTATCCATAGGGGGGCCCAGAGAACCTTTGGGAACCACTGCTGTATGACATGGCGATTCTCCTTAGTTGTGGAGTTAAATAATGTGCATTATTAATTAAACTGTACCGAATGGCAACCAGCTGGTCCTAAAAACGCTTCCAGATTCTTGTCCAGTCACTGCTGGTCTTTTTGACCAACCCAGACTCATAACAAAGGTCTCAGTCAGGACTGCTGAGATGTTATAAACAACACATGCTCTTGGACTCAACGTTCTGAATGTCAAAAATAATCCGACGGAGGTACCAATGTACATTTTTTGAGACAAAATTTCATTTCAGATATAAAGTTAACATTTTGGATCTGGAGAAGTCCAAACAAAAACGAAAAAAAGAAAGGTGGCCTCCTGTTATGTCAAAAGGGTTATGTGGCACCATCCTAGCAGGGTATGTGGAGCAGCAACTGTCCGCTCTGGCCCTTTCCGCATTCGGCCAGTCATGCTGGACTGACGGTGGGGACGTCACGCTGGCTGTCATTGCGGAGCACCGGCAGTGGCCACCGGGCTGCTCATGGAGTTCGTGTTAGCCGATAAGATGGTGGAGCCGCTGAGAGGGCCGAGGGCAGTGGAGGCTGGCAAGGCAGAGATTCCTAACGTGGAGACAAGCAGGTGAAAAGTGGACATCATGGCGGACTAGAAGCTAGTCTGCTAAACCAAAAGCAGGAGCTGCACAAATCTTTGTCTCTATTCTGCTATCATCAAAAAAAAAACAGAACAACACTATTTCACAATTGTAGGGTTTCCGTTAAATAAGAATTGAAATTAAAATCAGACTTCATTTGTTTTCGGAATTTCAATTTGTGCAGTTCTGTTATTAACGCAGCTACTGTGGTATTGCAAGCAGAAAACTTCCTGTTCATTGTCTTTTCTGTTGTTTTTGCACCGAGTCATTTTCCATCTTCTTCCTTCGCTGCACAGACTGGCTGTTATGCAGCAATGGTCGAATTTCTCACAGTTTAAAAAAATGTAAGGCATCTTTGTCAGATTCCACCTATTCTACTTGAAACAAAGACAAACTTGAAGATATATTGAACCGGAATAATTAAACACACGCAGCAATGACAAATTAGAAAACTCCTCAACTTCTCATCCCCCAGTCGGTCGTGGCAGACGGCTGCTCATACTGAACTGTATTCAACTGTGGTTTGAAGCGGCAAAATTAGGAAAGCCTTTGTCAGAAATGCGACAGTAAGCGTGAAGCATGAGTTCTCACCAGTGACCATGCTGGCTGCAGGGACAGCGGAGTTGTCGCCTGGCAAGTTGGCTGATCCAGCCGTACGAGACTGCTCCTTCACGATGGAGACTGTGTGAACAACAAGCAGTAGAAATAAAGAAATAGTTGCTGCTTTATTTTGATTCTGCCTTCATCGTGGATTGAAATCGCACTCTGGGGCTCTTACAGAAGTACGGGTGGTCCATTGCCTCGCGGGCGGTCACTCGGGCCTGGTGGTCGTAGCGCAGAAGTTTGTCGAGGAAATCCAGAGCCTCGGCGCTGACCAGGTGCTGATTCTCGCTGTGGACGAAGCGCTCCCACCGTTTACGAGAATGTCTGCAGGGAAACAAAAATGGCTTTCTAACAGTCCGCCATTAAACTATCTTTAAGGAAACTGCTTTTAAAACACAAAATCTTACAAAGTACTTTTGGTCTAGTTTTTAGTGCAACTATTCTAGTCCACTTGAAATAAGACAAAGTGATTACAAGTAACTTTCCAGCAAGATATAGAGGCTTGTTTCAAATCAATATATTGTTAATACTGATGAAAGAATGGCAGATGAATTAATTTATAACATGGGAAATTATTAATGGAACTAGCACTTTATTAATTAATCATTTACTTAAAACAAGGCTTTGTATCTTTCTGGAAAGCTACTTGTAAGTTATTTTCATCTTATTTTAAATGCACCAAAATATTTGAACTGAAAACTAGACCAAAATTACTGGGTGGGTGAGATTGTGTGTTTTTGCAGTGTAGCTCCAACTTTACCAGAGAAAGACTTGATCAGAAAAGGCCGGCAGTAACCAGCAGGCCGTCTTTAACGTTCCGTCTCTGAGGGAAACAACTCGTACCTTCCCAGGATGTCGTTGAAGCGAGGCTCCAGCTCGATGCTGTACTTGTCAATATAATCGTAGAGGTCTTCAGTTCCCAAAACTTTGGCTATTCTCACCAACTGCGGGAGCACAAAACAGGAACAATCTTGTCAGTAATGTTAAAGACGTGCAGAAATAGTAAAAACAAAAACTTGTTGATGAGAAAGAAAAGCTTCTTAGCACATCTGACAATTACAAGATTAACGCCAACCACTGATATATGCTGCGTGCGTCGTTCTCAATGAGGGCAGGGGCTGAAGCAGTGGAAAAGAAATGTGATGCACTCCACCTGATCGTAGTTGTCATGACCGTGGAAAAACGGTTCCTTCCTGAAGATCATGCTTGCCAACATGCAGCCCAAGCTCCACATGTCCAGACTGTAGTCATACATCTGCAACACAGAGTGGAAGAGGTAAAGCACCTGAACCATTTAAAACACGAAACAAAGCCAAACATTTCCAACATCGCTTCACAATTATTTCAAAATGCCCATTTTTAACTCGCTTGTTTTGTAGACAACAAGAAGTGATGGTAGTTTAAAATTCAAACAATTCAAGCCTGGAATAATTCTCAAAGTTTAGCTCAGTGTCTGCTCCCATCAAAGAGAGAGCAGAACTAACACCTCAGTCAAACATAATCCAGGCACCAGTGATGCTTGATGCCACCAATTTCCTTTCCGATCCAATACTGAGTAAAATCAAAGCTGGTATCGACGATACCGATGCGATACTTTGTGCAAAAACACTTAATTTATATGTTAAATCTAAAGTAAAAAAAAAAACATGTTCTAATTCAAATCCTGGCTTCATAAAAAGGACACAAGACATCAATCACTCTGATATATTCATTTTAAACTTAGAAGTACTTTGAGATAGCAGCATCATTTATTAAAGCTATTTCAACAGCAGCAGAAAATCATACAAAATATGTGAAAATGTTTCCAACTTCAAAAAAAAGAAAATTATTTACTTAAATAAATCCTTGTGTAATTTTTAAGAACTACTTTAAAGCTGGAACATCTTCATGTCCGATGCCGCGCTTGGGCATTTCAGACTTACCAGGCGGAAGAAAAAGTAGTTCCACGTCAACCCTGTGTCATTTAGGCAAAATCTCAATAATTTAGTCTCTTTTTAATGTGTTCTTGTTCAGCTACATTATCTCAAATGACTGGAACACTGAAAGCGTTGATCCTTGGATTGGAGAATTGATCTTTAGGCTTAAAGGTTTGATGTGAGAAGTATTGATATTCCAGTATCGATCAGGCCAACCAGCTTCTCTGACACTCAATAGAAGCAACAAACGGCGCCTAGCTCAATATTGTTCATTTCTAACCTCTGATTATTAGTTTTTGGTTTCTAGTACTACTCAACAGGAAACAGTTTAAATTCTCATTTTTATTGGCTAAACGTTTTGTTCTAGTTTATCCATATATGCATATGAATTGCTTTCCATGCGTCACATGATGCAGCGTGGGGCTCAGTGGGAATCTAGCTGCTGGCTGGCTAATACGAGCCAACATAAAATCCCTCCCACAGCCGTACCTGGTAGTCCACCAAGAGCTCAGGTCCTTTGAAGTAGCGCGAGGCGACTCTCACATTGTACTCCTGTCCTGGATGGTAAAACTCTGCCAGGCCCCAATCAATAAGCCGCAGCTGCGAGAGCAAAAACAGAACGTTACGATCCATCATAACGGGCCTGTTGGGTTTTTCATCCTCGATGTCTGATTGTTCAGGTTTTTCTGTAGCGCATGCAAAGCGTTTCTGTCTCACTCAACAATTCAATGAAACCGTCATAAAACAGAAGCACATGAAAGAAAACGCTGGTGTGGATCACGCATTATGGAGATGTTTTGGTGTTCTTGTCGACCTTTCGATGCTCGTGATCGATCATGACGTTATGTGGCTTCACATCTCTGTGCATGATTCCCATGCTGTGGCAGTAATCGAGTGCCTGAAGACAACATGAGATAAACATGACGTTTACACACACACACACGCACACACAGGATAACGTACAAAAGGTAAATAGAAAAAAATCAATAAAATTCAGCCAGATGTTTTCACTGAGTAACTGATCAAATTATATTCATGTAATGTTTAAAACTTACATCATCAGAAAAGTGAAAACATATAGTTTAGTGGGAATTTTGGTATTTTAAAAACCCAAAATATATAAGAATTTATAAAAGGAATATAAAATAAGAAAGCATGCAAAAGAACATTTTTCAAAATAGGTTTCTTTCAATAAAAAATAAAAAATTACAGAATTCAAACAGAAACACCAGCTGTGTGTCTGGTGAATTTTTGGTTAAAACGTGTTTGTTCTTCATTCAGTGGGTAGAAATCCAGAAATTTCACTCAAATAAGAGCCGTAATACAACAAGGCCACTGGCATTTTAAAGTGCCAGACATAAGGCATTTGACATTTAGTTCTCTTTGGTTGTTGAAACATCGTTTTTTATCTGAGCAATTAAAGGCAGTCATCGCCATCGCAGCTACTGCTTATGGTTCTAATGGAGATTTGGTTTTACATGCTGTAGGAATCTCATCATGGTAGTCAATAAAATAAATAACCGTTTCTTTCTTAGCGTGAATAATTCAAGGTTCAACGCTCAGTGTTGTTAATGGTTGTTTGACTGCGTCATTTTCCAAGCAAACAAAGCGAGGCGCTCACCTTGAGGATCTCGTACATGTAGAAACGGATGTCGCAGTCTGTCAGCGTTTGGTACAGTTGCTACAGGTCAAAACAGTCATTAAATTAGCCATTTTAAACTGATTGCACACATTCATAAAGCACGTACAACAACAACACTCTGCATCACGACAGTTGAACTTAACAACAAAAATGAAGTCAAAAGACAACACACACACACACACACACCAGAGAGCAGTGCATGAAAGGCAAAAAAGACGACTTACGACACCATAAATAAAGAAACAGTTAAGTTAGAGTTTTGTTCTCACCTTAAAGTCTGTGTTGTTTACATGCTCAAAGACCAAAGCAGGTGTCCGGGACTTTAAAAAAAAAAAATCCAAAATGAGATTTGAGTTTTGTCAATTTAAAACCATTTTATCTACGTCGTCAAAGCCTCTGCGTAAACTGAAACAGGAAGGAAAGCTGCAGACGTGCAGACACTAACAGCACTGAGTGAAAATCTACTGGGATGTTTTTAAGGTTCATTATATTGACAAGCAAGGTCAGCCGTTTCCTGGGTGACTAATGATGATAACGGGGCTCTCTCCGGGAAACATGCAACATGACAGAAAGAGGTCAAAACACATCACAACCTGTTGCACTTTATGAAACCATTTGTGTTTGAGACGCTCTTCTCGATTTGATCCCATTTCTGTGTCTTGAGACCTTTCTGGTTTATTCTACCACATAAACATGTTAAAGACATTTCCTGTTGCTGCATTTACTTTTTGGTGGCGACGGTGATAGGAGTTTGTCCCGTAATCAGTGAGTTTGAACCCTGGTCCTGTCCGTCTCCGTCATCGTATCTTTGGGCAAGGCATTTCATCCGACTTGACTGAATGTAGTGCAAAGCAACCTTCAGTGCTCTGGACTTAATAAAGTCTGTGTAAAGTGACCAGAGCTCTACTTCTCAATCAATTAAATTGGGGAGAGTTACCTATTTTGCAAATGTACTTCTTATGAGAGAGCCCAGGAACATTAAGACCAGAGGTGTCCAAACTTTTTTTGCCTTTGGGGCCACAGATTTAAAGTTGTACGTTACTTGGGTGGCACACAATTTTTTCTATTCATTCATTTTTGTTTTTTGGGGTTTTTTTATTATTGAAATTGCAAAATGTATTTCAACAAACTAAATAAATTATTATATTATTTTAATGCAACAAGCAGAGTAGTTTGATTTCTGTAGAACAGTGTTTTGTGGATTATTGTAGAAAAGAAACTTTTTTTAAAAATGGAAGGTTTGACCAATTAAATGAAAACCAAAAATAAAACTGCAAACATCGGAAATTTGTTGGGTTGATCATTTTTTTCTTCACGATGTATGATGATAATTTTTAAACTACAGAAGGTAACATAAATTTTTGACTGTGCCTTTAAAAACATCTCTGCACATTGTCCGAGCTGGCGAACCAAATTTAGGTTGTTATGGAAATGTCATCGAGGACCGCCTGCAATTGTTCCGAGGACCACAAACAGGCCCTGGGGCCACACTTTGGACACCTCTGATTTAAAGCTACTTGGATTGCAACCACATAAATCTATCCATAGCCAGGACTCACTTTACCATATACTTACAAACACACATTTCCCAAGACCCACAGAAAACGATAAGCTGGTACAAGGGGTGGGTTGGCAGCTCTATTGGTACAGCAGTGACATTTCAGAACCCAAACAATAATTACTGTCGTAAACAGAAAAAAAACCCAACTAAGTGTGTTATATCTACTTACTACAGGGTCCTTTACTATGTCGATGAGAGAAATAATATTAGGACCGCCACGCAGGTTTTCTAAAATCTTGATCTCGCGTTTGATTTTCTTCTTCTTCACCGGCTAAAAGAAAAATCGTTAAGCAGCGTTAGAAAAATCGGCCGAGTGACCTTCCACCTTGTCAAGGCATTGTCCCGGTAGGGCTTACCTTTAGGATCTTTACCACCACCTTCTCGTTGTTGGTGATGTTGATTGCCTCGAACACTTCGCTGTACTTGCCACGTCCCAACTTGCGCACCAACTGAAAGTCATCTTGATTTCTTTGAAGAAAGAACGAGAGGAAATGTCACTTGTCTAGACGAGGACTTTGAAAGTGTTCATCATAAATTGTCCCGCGTCATTTACCCCCATTCCACAACATGCGACTCATAGTCCCAGTATTCTCTCGGGCGATGAGTGTTGACCTCTGTGTACACTCGCGCCCGGCTTGGCAAAGGCCCTGACATGTCTGACAGCTTGGCAGTGGCAGCTTTGGCTTAGGTATGGCTGGAAAGAAGGGAAACAGGGGTTGGGGTGCGTGGCGGGTTTGCCTTAGGGGTGGCGGGAGGGGTAAGGCCCCCCCTAAGGTACGGTGAAGTAGCTGACAAAAGACGAGATAAAAGAGATGGAGCAAAATATTAGATTTTACTGGAACAGACAATCAGTGCACTTACATAGCACCAACACCCAATAAACGTCAAACAAGTCGTTTTAGTTTTATAATTCAATCACACACACAAATGATTCTAATCATCATGAAGTTCAGTTCATTATTCAAATGAGATTAAAAAGTTTTCTACCAAAGGAAACCCAGCAGTTGACATCAAAGACACTCATTTCTATACAGCATAAAAATATATATATACTATTCAAATACATCTGCTGTAGCCGAGGATCAAACCGCCCGCGGCCACTACCCATCCCACACTGCACCCTATCCCAACAGTCACAAGCTTTGGGTAGTGATCGAAAGAATGAGATCACGGATACAAGCGCCCTAAATTAGTTTCCCCCACAAGCTCGGCCATCAAGCAGGGACTGAGAGTAGAGCTGCTGCTTCTCCACATCGAGAGGCTCCAACATCAGCAAGATAAAACTGGACAACCTTATTTGACATAGGGTCCATGTCTATTCAGGCGGCTTGCGTTTTTTTAAATCTTCTATACCTTTTTTTCAGATATCTACCAAGCACGCATAATAAAGAGCCGTGTTTTGAAAAAGGTGTCAGTGAGAACCTTATATATACATACAGTGATGACACTTGGGGAACTTGTGCATCAGAACGACGAAGCTAATGAAATGGTTGCAGGCACACTAAAAGACCAACAACCAAGATTAAGTTGAGGGAGTATGACATGTTTGTGTGTTTAGTGTACTAAAAACGCGTTTGAGTGGAAACATTGACAGACTGAGGCGGTGTGTTGAATCTTGTCTTTGTGTTTTAGTGTTCTTGTTTGTTATTTAGTTCTGCTTTTCTATTAGTTTGACTGCACATCTGTATTTAATGTGAAAATAAAAGGCGCGTGCTCCTTCAAACTAATGGGAACAATATGAGGACAAAATACCTCAACGCCACCGGAAGTGTCTTCTTTTCAGGGTTCCTCCCAGTTCCAGCAAACTTATCAGTTTGTACGTGTAGTAATAAGCGAACAGCGCCATCTAGTGTTCGCGACAGTTCTTTTTAAAGCAAACTTTAAAATAGCGGGCCTCTCGGCATCGCTGCGTGCTTTAAAGAGACATTGATTAGATACAAGGTAGTAGTTATCGCGATAATGGATGATCTGTGAACACGCAGGAACAAAAGCAACATTTACTAAAACTTCCACTTCCAAGAAGAAGGGCATCATTATTAGTAATATAATAACTTGGTGTACTTCAGCCCCACGTTGTCCGGGATATGCCTGTGCTAGCACCCGACGCAGCACATCGAGAAAAGTGCGTTCGTAATTTGAACGCGAATAATGTTTTTCCTTCTCGCGCATGTTAAGGTGACCAGCAGATTATCGGCTGGAAGCGGCGGCCCCATTGCAGCCGCTGCTAATCACAGGGACACGTCTGACGCTCATTTCCAGTCACCCCTGTTACGTACAAGCCAATATTTACCCTTTTTATCAAACCGCCGAGCGAAGTCGATGCCGACGAGCCATCAGTCCTGGTCACAGTTTGGTCCAATGGACCCGGGTCGGATTTCTGTCATATCAAAGACAAATCTGGAGTTCCTAAATCTCGTAACGGAGGCCGAGGAGGGACAACCTTGTTCTCCGTGGCGAATCGTCTCCTTTTTTTGTGTTTCACATTTACCTTGTAGAAACAACTAAGCGACTATTAAATTGTTTAATTGGCTTTTATTAAGAAATCACCATCCCCAGGCAGTGTGTCAATACTTTACAGTGTTTTTGAGCCTTTTTGGGGGTCATAACTGTAATTTTGCTTTTTTTTTTTTTTTTTTTTTTTTTTTTTTTAATCACTACTTATTGAATCTTCTATGCAAATGTACGGTGGCCCTGAGGTGCAAAACACAACAACATTAACGAAAACACAACAACATTAACAAAAACACAACAACATTAACAAAAACACGACAACATTAACGAAAACACAACAACATTAACAAAACACAACAACATTAACAAAACACAACAACATTAACGAAAACACAACAACATTAACAAAAACACAACAACATTAACAAAAACACAACAACATTAACAAAAACACAACAACATTAACGAAAACACTACAACATTAACGAAAACACAACAACATTAACGAAAACACAACAACATTAACGGAAACACGACAACATTAATGAAAACACGACAACATTAACAAAAACACAACAACATTAACGAAAGCACTACAACATTAACGAAAACACAACGGAAGAGGTAGGTCCCAGTGGGAGACCTAAGAAGTCGCTGATTGGACAACAGGTCGTTTTACTTTTGAACCGGAAGTTATGCTGGAGTGCTTCGTTTGATTGAAAACCTAAGGAAGCGGGAATACAGTCACTTCGCCATGTATTGCCCGAACTGTGGAAAGGAGGTGGTTGAGCCGTCACCAAATTTTTGCAGTAATTGTGGCAAGAGGCTTCAAGAAACTTGTATGGAGGATACTCCACAATGTTCAAGTAAGTTAAAAAGTATAAAGGAAGATTCATATTTCTTATGGATGTAGTAACTTGCTAACGCTAGTGGTCTCCAGACCGTGTCCACTGTCATCTAGTTGTTCATTATAAATGCAATTAAAAGTACACAAAGTCGCTATAATACAGCAGAATTGTATTAGCTATATATCGTAAGGTCCGTTACAGCCTTAGGCACTACTTTTTTAGGATAATTGGTGTCGTTCTGGTTCTGCTGCACTGCGATCAGGCTAGCCGCCTTTTTGGAAGCGAACTCGCACTTAATTTATACTTGTGGTAGCTTTACTTTAGTTCGTAATACATATCGTCTGTTTGCATGAATGTGATGTGCGACATTTTTTCTTTGCTTTACTTCTAGCACAACAGACTGTCCCATCCTGCCGTACACCAGCCCTCAGCACCTTCCTTGAATAGAAAAATGAGGAGCGACCAAAGTATTCTCTTGGGAGAAAGGGGTTAAAACAAAAGGTAGAAATGAAAGTTCGGGTAGGTGCTAAATTGGGTTCCCCTGTGTCGGGAGCGATCATTACAGCCAGAGAGACGAATGAGGCGGATCTGACCATTTTCACGTCGCTTCTGATCGATTTCTCGGTAAAACAACTCATATAATCATGTGAAGGTTGTAACATTGAGTTTAATTGGCAGCTGTTGTTTAAAAAATTGTATAATAAATAAATAAACAAGATCTTCTGATGCTGTTTTTTGTTATTTATACGCCAAGAGAATCGCTCTTTTTCCAACGTTTCTCACGTAAGCCTGGCAGAAATAAGTCAGGCACCAAACACAGTTTTCCCAACACGTAGTGTGTATGTAAAGATTTTTGAGAATTTGGAAACAGTTGTTCTTTATTCCCCAAGGTTCGGTAAGGGTAGGAAAGAATGGAGGAAATTATAATCTGGTCCCCCTCCATAATATGGGAACAACTTAATTTACCAGCAAGATTTTTTTTCTCTGTTTATTCCTCTCATCATCAACAATAAATCCTGTGATTTTGGTAGAATTTGCTCCTTGTTTGCCAGAGTTATGAGGGGAAAGCCATATATTTTAGGTGACTAAAATAATCTGTTCCCTTCAAAACATGGGGACTATTTACCAACAAGTCTTCAACTGTGCTTATTCATCTCTTCATCAACAACAAATTATTTGAAAACATTTCCTCTTTATTTGCCAGAGATATGAGGGGGAACCATATATTTTAGCCACCTGAAATAATGTGTCCCTTCCAAAACATGGGAACCAATTAATTTACCAGGAAAATGTTCTCTTCATTTCTCAAAGGTAAGTGGCCTTGGGATTTAAACTATCTTTCCACAGCTGTCTTATATCACATTATCCTTCTCGAAAAACCATCAATGCACCCTGAGATGGCCAAGCCGAATGGCTTCAGTTTTGTCGTAGCCATCTAGATGCTATATGTAATTGGGCCCCGTGGAGGGATACGTGCGTCTTGTAAACCTGCGAGTTCTCAGAGCGATGCCTTGAGGATTCAGCTGCCTCAGCAGTCTCATTACAACATCACGTTTGACACGCAGGTTGTGTTTTAGTTTGAGAACTTGCCACATGGTCCGATAGCCAAATAATTGCCCTGGTCCTCTAAGCTCGGACATAATGACACGTCTCACTTCAGGAAGTGGAGAGTAGTTGCCTCTTCAATGCAGCCCTGCTACTTTCAAATGAGTCTTTACTGAACGCATGCTAACCGACACTTCGTGGTTGGTCTGGAGCATGTCCAGTATCACCTCGTAAGTATGTCCTGACTCAAAATATTTACGAATAACAGTACTAAGGTTTGGATCACTGAGAACATTCTTGTTTTCAGCAATCAAGTTAAAGCCAGAAGAACTTCCGGTTCAAAAGTAAAACGACCTGTCGTCCAATCAGCGACTTCTTAGGTCTCCCACTGGGACCTACCTCTTCCGTTGTGTTTTCCTTAATGTTGTAGTGTTTTTGTTAATGTTGTCGTGTTTTCGTTAATGTTGTTGTGTTTTTGTTAATGTTGTCGTGTTTTCGTTAATGTTGTTGTGTTTTCGTTAATGTTGTCGTGTTTTCGTTAATGTTGTCGTGTTTTCGTTAATGTTGTCGTGTTTTCGTTAATGTTGTCGTGTTTTTGTTAATGTTGTTGTGTTTTTGTTAATGTTGTCGTGTTTTTGTTAATGTTGTCGTGTTTTTGTTAATGTTGTTGTGTTTTTGTTAATGTTGTCGTGTTTCCGTTAATGTTGTCGTGTTTTTGTTAATGTTGTTGTGTTTTTGTTAATGTTGTCGTGTTTTTGTTAATGTTGTCGTGTTTTTGTTAATGTTGTTGTGTTTTTGTTAATGTTGTCGTGTTTTCGTTAATGTTGTTGTGTTTTTGTTAATGTTGTTGTGTTTTTCTTAATGTTGTTGTGTTTTCGTTAATGTTGTCGTGTTTTTTTAATGTTGTTGTGTTTTTGTTAATGTTGTAGTGTTTTGCACCTCAGGGCCACCGTACAAATGTGTCAAACTCGAGACCCGCGGGCCAAAAGCAGCCCACCATTTCAGTTTTTGTGGCCTTCTGAGGCATGGAGGGCCACACAATAAATACAGGCTCAAGATAACAGTTGTGTGCTTATGTAACCAGTAATAAAGTAAATATTACTTTATCAATAAAATCAAATCAGGGTGTTTTTGGTGTACAAGATCAAATAAATATGAGAAGATGTTATAAATTATTTATTAATAATTATCAGCTGAATTCATAGAGAGCTACATTTCAATAATTTATTAATAAGTAGTTTTATCTCTATATTCTCTCACAACTGGCCCCATGAGGACATTCATGACGTAAATGTGGCCCAAAATGAAATGAGTTTGATACTCTGTCTTGGACTCAATAAGCTCACATTTTAAATGTATAGCACCAACAGTCACTTGTATTATGGCTGCCCAGCTAACAGATCATAGCTTGTGTCACAAGCCTTGTGACACTGTCAGTCGTTTACAGGAGCAGTGTGGAAAATGTGTTTTGATTGACAGGTTGTATTTTTGTCCTCTACAAGGAGCACAAACACAAACATATATAACAGCAGTAACATCACTTGATAATATATACATTTTTACTGTTTAATTATTTAACTGCTTGAAGTATGAAAGAAAACTTTATCTTGTTTCTTGATGATAAGGAAGCACCTCAAATGAGGATTTCAAGGGAAGTGTATAGTCTGCTATAATCTTTCTCATAATTTTGTTTTTGGTGTATTTTACTTATTAGAATAATGCAGGGTAATGAGTCAAATCTAATTTGTCTGCAAGATTAATGCAGACGTGGACATAAAACACTTTCGGTGTTAGGGATAAAAAAAGAGACCAAATCCGAATCTCTTTATGAAAGCATTTCATTTTTATTTACTCAAGTTATCCGTGGAAGCTTCTGACGTCATTATAAGAATATCACTCCATCCGCCAGGGGGCAGCATACCATACGCAGAGACTAAAGGCCTCAAAATGGAAGAATGGAGTGAAATAACACAGAACACGGAGAGAGCGTCATCGAAAGCGATTTTATAAATAACTTCATTTTTATGTGTGTTGTGTAAAATTAAATCTGCGGGGAAACTTAATCAGCGCTGCTGTTCCTGTAGAGCAAGCTGTGATAAACAGGTAACAACAGGCCATTAGCTAGGCTACGTTCTGCCTCAGGCTAGTGCTAGCTCTCAAGAAAAAAAAATGCTATTTAGCTACTTGTTAGGAAAACGCGTTGTAAGAAATATCCCGAGAAGGTATAACCAGAGGCGAGCAAACGTTAACATGAAAACTAAAATGTTACTGGCGCTAACTTCAAGTTGTGAGCGAACAGGGGCTAAGTGCGCAAAGCGCTGCAGCTAGCCTAATGTAGCCTACAGGAGCTAGCTTCGTGCTTAACGCTTCCATTCATTGGAAGTGTCCTGAACATCCAGTTCACATTTTAAAAGTCAATTCACAACGCTTTATTAGGGAGACTATATTAACGTTTACTCTTAACAGTTTTTTAACTTGTCTTTAAGACGTCTCGCAGTTGACCGTTAATTATTGATTTCGTCAACTGGCAATTATATTTTAGATGAAACGTTTCATCAGTGATGAACAGAATTGACACTTATTAGCCCTTTCAAGCAGATGTGGGCAATTTTCAGATACCCCTCCACATAGCATAGGGAAGACATTCCAGTCAATTTGCGCAGCTGTTCACACTAGAACTCTGTTTCTGCAGTTAATGATGGAGCCATCAGAGGACACTGGATCACAATGGGCTTCCCAGGAGGTCAACCCTGTGTTCCTGCAGCAGCTCAGAGAGCTGGACATCCCTGAGGAGGCAGCAAAACAGGTGGGCAGTACTGCTGACGTGCGGACTTCGCCGAATAATAGCTACATACAGTTTTTCCTGATCTTTCTTATTCCCCCTCCTCGCTCCAGGCACTACTGCACACTCGGAACGTGTCGGCTGAGGAGGCGGCCATGTACTACTTCAACAAACTGGAGAATGAGGTGCCCATAAGCTAGCCTTAGTCCCCTGCAGGTACACATTGGTACGTTAGACCCAGTAGAGTTTGTCCAAAACCAAATCTGAGTGTGTGTCTGTCTTCGGTCTTACACACAGGAGGAGGGGGACGAGGACCTCTTGTTCAAGATGGTGTTTGTGGTTAACATGGACCTCGGCATGGGTGTTGGAAAGGTAATGGTGAAAAGAAAGCACACCTTCTGCCAGTTAAGCAGGTTTTCGTCAAAAATGGCTGTTTCTGAGTTCTGAAATGGTTTGAGTCTAACATTAAGTCTCCACAGCACAGATTCCAACAGGAAATTTAGTAAATAAAGATGAGGGCAAAAAATGCTCTTTTTATTGAGGATAAAAAGAGCTTTTGTCTGTCGGTGTGTACTTTCAAATGGCATTTTTTCACACAAACATACAGTGCTGAGAGCTGTGCTCAGTATTGATTAAATGTTGTTCCCCGTGGGTGGTTTTGTGTTTGGGAGCTACTGAAGTTGGTGCTGATTGTGTGTGCAGATTGCTGCCCAGGTGGGCCACGCGGCAGTGGGTTTGTACCAGGCTCTACAAGAGAAGAACAGCTGGCGGGAGATGGCCTGGAAGTGGGACCAGAGCGGGTAAGACCCATGCAGATTGTGGCTTATTTAAAACCACGACTTAATAGATTTTGTTCATCCTGCTAATATTTGTTTCATTCTTTTTGTGCATTGAGATAATTAGCTTGTAACTCGTACGAAGTAGGGTTCATATCTTTCTGTAAAAGCTGTCTTTTTTTACGTCAGGATAGCATGAATATGTTTTTGTGATTCTCTACCCGTCATTTCTGTTTCCACGTGCCACCGTGACTTTTGGCTCCCCACGTTGGTTTAGTTTGCAAAAGATGGAAATAACATCAGCAGCAGACTTGTGTTTAAAGTGTTGTTTTATTTAACAATTGCAAAAGTGTTCTTGGTGAAATTCTAAGTGAGTTTGGTGTTCATACAGGGCCAAGAAGGTGGTGCTCCAAGGCACTAACGTGGCCCACCTGCTGGAGCTGCAGGCCCTGGCCCTGAGCCTCAACCTGCCCACCTACCTGGTCCAGGACGCAGGTCTCACCCAGGTAGATCAGCATACGCTATCAGATCATCATACACTTAGCACAAAGTATCTGTCGGACAAGTATACGCTGTCATTACCATCTGATTTGATTTAATCATCAACATAGAATTGTGATGTCTAAAAAAAAAGTCAAAATTTGAATTGTGTAAACATCGCAGCGCGTCTTTCCCTGTACACGTTGGAGTAACAACGGTCTCTGCAGGTGGAGTCCGGCTCCCGCACCGTCCTGGCCATCATGGGAGCAGAAGAGATGGTGAACAACGTCACCGGCAGTCTGAAGCTGCTTTGAGTTCTTTGGAGACAAGTATCTGCAGTGGCACACAACCACCAGGAGGGGGCAGCCTTTCTTAGCAGCAGGAGAACTGCAGTCAAGCATGAGCTAAAAACCTTTAAGAATAATAATAAAAAAAAATGTAAAAACAAAAAAAACAACCCAGAAAACACCTCCTCCCTCAGCTCCATTCCTCTTTCCTTCTCTTTTCCCCTCAGCTGCTTAATCGGACATTCCTGGGAGACCACCTACTAGCAAAAGAATTGATTCCTTTGGTTCATTTTTCTCCCTCAAATGGTAACAGTTCAATACAAAGTAACTGATGGGATGTTCACATGAAGATTTTAATGGTGGTGTTTGTGTACAGCTGAAGTTCCCTGTTAATATCATTTCTGGTGTTATGGTTGTGTACATGTTTTGGTTTTTTTTTTTTCATGGCCATGTGATGTGCCATTTTTATCAAAATAAGAAGTAAATCTTCCATTCTGATTTCCACCTCCCGCTCCAGCTTAACGTTTAAAGAAGCCACAACCTGGCACCAGAGCTTACCCTGCAAACATTTGGACTCGCTCTAAATACTGCTGCCATGAATGGTGTGTTTAGGTTCTTTGGGGGAGGGGAATAAAAAAAAAGTATTTGTGGGGCGTAAAAAATAATTTATGGGTTGCCAGGCCAGTGTTGTTGATTATATTGTCACAATGTACATTGAAACTACAATGTTTGTTCTGTAGTGTTAAAATGCATGAGATACAAAATGTTACAATATGAATGATAAAATTGACATTTGAAGACCGTGGTGTACTATTCATAGCTTTGTTGTGTCAGACAGGTGATCATTAAAACACCTCAACATTACAACCACTCTGGACTTTGTGCTTATTTTACACCCATAGACTACACTGATGAGCCATTGGCATTGCTGGGATGGAAAGATTGTGGGAAGGAAATAACTATGTTGCAGTGCCAGATTTTTTGTTTTTCTTTCCCACCCCTTCCTGCAACAGGCCGGTTGTGTTAGGAGTATTGTTAGTTTTTTTTGTATGAAAAAAAGCAATTACATATACATTCGAGACCTTAAATTAATTAAATTGTTGACTAGAAAGTCTTTGTCCTCCCAGTGTCACCGGTAAACGGCTTTATTTATGTAAAGCATGTTTCAATTTGCACGTTAACGACACCGGTCCGGTTCTTCGCTGTTCAATCTGATCAGATTCTGCAGCCAGGCTCGGTTCAATGCGCTGACGACACGTGACAGTTTCACTGTACAGCCAACGCCTCTGCAACAAATGACGTCGGCATTTTTCAGCGCGTCCAATCCGAAGCTGTCTCCGAGTCTCATGACATGACAAAAATCCAATCGCGTCACCACGACAATTTACATAAGACCGCTGATAAGTTTTGACTGGCGTCGGTTCAATGGTCTGGTTATTGTGTCGCCTTTCTTTCTACAGTGTGCGAGTTTGTAAGATGGAACACTTTAGAGCTCCTTTCTGTCATTTAGAGCCGAAGGACACCATGTTCCTCGGCGAACCTAAGAAAATCCCTCTAAAAATCTCACTGAGCCACTCGTTTCCGTCCTGTTTATTTCTGCAACGGGGTTACAAACGAGAGTCCAAAACAGGAAAGATGGCCACTTTCATCGTCCAGCCACTCAATAAACGCACACAACGCCACATGTAATATACTCCGTTGAACTGACAAACCGGTAGGTGGGGCTGACCTAGTGGGCGAACCCTGCCTCTTGTAGCCCTGAAACTGAGCCCAAGAGACCCCGTATGGCTAACCATTACCATTATGTATCAACGAGAGCGATCCTTCCAAAAGAAATATATCTTATCAACAAAAAGAAGTAATCCCACTATAGAAATGAAGTTAGCTCCATTGGAATGTTATTTTTATAAAGAAAACGTCCCATATCGTGGTAGATATAAATCCTTTGCTGAGCAGAAATCTGCCTTGCGAATCCAGTTACTCATGCTCCTCTCCGTGTGCTTCACCACTCTAATACAAGAGAAAACAAGTTCCTCACTGAAGCCGTACTCGCCCTATTTTACTCCGCAAATGGAAATAAGTAACCGACAGCTTCATTCGCCAATGGCTTCAAGGTATTTCGGGTAAAACAAATGAGCCGCATATTACTGTCGAATCAATGGCAAGAGGCGGGCCATCTGGAAGGGCCGCCCAAACAGCATGCCCCTGCACGGCCGCCTGAGAAGCCCCGTGGCTTGATTGTGTGTCAGTTTCGATGGTGCCTGTGGTGAATGCCGGCGAGGAGGGGGATGGGCGCTTCGGTGAGCGTAAGGACCCGACACAGAATAGGAGCCCCGTATCACATACAGCAGTGCATACCCCATAATAAACAGCAACTGTAAATATACAAGACACTAACATTATTGGAATTGTTCACCGGGGATTTATAAAAGACACCAATGGATGTAGCGCACCCGAACAAGACAGGGGATTTAACTTTCCGACATTTTTTGGGAGATACTGAGAACTTTGTTTCTTACCCTTGAAGAGGGAGCTACTTGTAAGGGCAAAGGATACAGGAGACTCCGAGGCGGATATCCAGGCCTACTGGTCTAATTGGAATTAATGTTGGGATACTCCAAGGACTTCCATAGTACACTATCGTTGCCTTGTTTTTAAGGAATTTGGAATGACTCTTTAGGTAAGCACTTTCAATATGTGATATCTTAATGTACATACAATAGTTTTTAGCAAGATCTGAAACAAATCAACCATGTTTTCTGTGCCATGACTACACGGCTAACCAACTTAGCAAGCAAATAACCTGCGTCCACTGAAGTTTCTTCAAGCAAGTTGCTTGTCTTCGCAGTATGTCGAGCATTTCTCGAGTATTTCTATATTAATGTGGAGTGTTTAGCCAGCTGAAATGGGAAGTAAAATTGATGTTATGCCTTCCAGGGGCGCTTTGGGCTGTGACTGGAATGGTCCTCTCTTGGCTGTTTGATCAGTCCCTCGTGTTGTTTTCTAGTTTGCTTCCATCGTCACAAATTATTCTTTTTGCCAGTTTTTCCAAATACTCGGCGTTTAAATATTTTGAGCAATCGCGGTACGGACGTCACATTCAAATTATACAACTTTTATGCCTTTAGACATTTTTGGTAAAATATGTTTGTGGGTTTTTTTCCAAACCTAAAATCAAAATGAACAGTGTTAGTCGAGCGAATTGTCCGTGTTTGAATTACAGCCAGTAAAACTCAAAATTAGTGCAAACTTATAACCATAATATTGCATTTTTGTCAGTGAGTTTCCTCACTGTTTCCACAAAGGGACGAGGCATTACACCATTACAGAGTCCAAACAGCGTTTGGTTGACAGTGGCTAACCTGTTTGGATCTTTGTAATATTAATGTAAAGCTTTAGGATGTTGGATGTGTATCGTGTTTATTTTGTTTGCTAGTTCACAAACAGGCGACGCAGGTTAAACGTTAAGAAGGCTCCCAAAGTAGCATTTAATGTCCCTGGGTCTTGACAACAGGGTGCTAAATGTTCTTTAGGTGTTCAATATGTCGGAGTTTTAGGAAAGAATCATTGACCCGATCTGCTGTTGGCTCTTTCTCGACGACTCTTAGCCTAGCTGCTAACTGCATCTAGCGCAGCAGCAGGGGCAACAAATGTTGCTAGCCCTTAGCTAACTTGGTGGATGTTCTTCCGCTGCGTGTGCTCTAACGTTCAGTCCTTTCCCAGCACACAGCATGCATCGCAATCCTTATTTTTCTACTTTATCTGTGCAGTGACGGAAGGGGTGTAAGGTTCAATGCGGCCTCGTCGTGGGGTTTCGCTACATGATGTGAATCTGTCTTTGGCAACACAGTCGGTTTCAAAGTCAACTATTTGCCACATTTGTAGTTTTTTACCTAGTTAATTGTCTTTTTAGAACGCATGTGTTTAGCGTTGAGAAGGCCAGAGCTTTTGGTTTATTTGCTCTGCTTCACCTCCCCCACCAACCAGCCAACCCCCCAGCCTGTGTGGCGGTTAGGAGAGCTGGGTGATATTATAGTGGAGAGATCCGTATTCCATTATCAAGCCTCCATATTTGTTGTTTCAGAGTGAGGAAATATTGCAGGGCTGCTGCTTCTGGGTCCAAAGCCAGCCACGGGATGTTTTAACTCGAGCTTTGTTGAAGAAGTGTGCAAACACGTTCTTAATTATACATTTTATCCATCTCAGCTAAAAGAAAAACATCCCCTTTTAAAACTCTTCATGACTAGCTGTAGCAGGTATATTAGCAAAACCATCAAAAGTGTTGCTTATGACAACAAATATTTTCATGATACCGACGTTGGACTGTGTATTTAGGTGATATCTAAATATTCTTCACATAATGTGTTGAAATGTTTTTAATGAACGTTCCTAAATGTTGAATGCTTTTGAAAAATGTTGAGCAGTTTACTCCTGCCAGAAAAATGTGAAAGTCATAACGATCAAACCCTTAGATTTTCTGTTGTTGGTGCTTGAAGTTGAAGTTTTTCTGTTTCCAGGCCACAAAGTGGAAGCAGAAAATGTGCATGTATCAAAATTCTTATTTGTGCATTCCATTACCATCAACCTGATACAATTGTTTCATATTTGGAATACAAATCATTGGGAATCATTAGAAAGGAAGTTCCTGTTTGGGCTTTTTGTTCTTTTTCTTTTGGTTGAGGATCTTTTGTGATGTAATGTCCAACCCAGCCGCGGCCTGTGTGCCAGGGCCTCACTGGATTACTAAGCTTGTATTACTCGTCCTCAGTGGTGTACACGTCAAACGTGCCGCTGTTATCGTTTAGTCTGAAACTGGAAGCATGGCTATCTGGCCTCAGTTTAATTTTTGTTTGCTCTGTCATTAACTCAATAGGTCATATTCAGCTTATCGTTGTGAAAACATTTGTGTCGGTGCTTCAGGATCAAAAGACAATGTCAAGTTGAATCATTAAGTCACCCTCATTGCTTCCTTGTGTGGTTGTTTTCCTTCCATTCGAGATTAAGAATAACATGCAAAGCCTCCCAGAACGGTGTCGTCCTCATTGGCTTTTACTTCATAAGTGGAAAAATGACAACCTTCCCCTGGCAGGGCGTTGAGTTGGGACTTTGCCAAGTATCTGGTTTGATCTTGATGTGTGTTGAGGACCTGATTGGCGTGTCTGGAGCTGAGTTGTCATTGGTTGGAGCTGGCATTCTCTGAATATGTTTCACATCTTTTAATAGACTGGGTAGGCTGAAGCTTTCCAACCTGGCCACTTGGAACCAGCAGTAACATGAGCCTCTCTAACACGCCCCCCCCATCCCCTGTACCTTCTTGTTATCTTGAATAAACATTGTGTTCACTGACGGAGACAAAGGAAATGTACTCTTCTCTGTATTTATTGTGGTTAGTTTGGGCTACAGACAAGCCTCTACAGCTGGATGTCTACTGAAGTCATCCAGCCACAACAGGAAATCTCAGAAAGCTCGTTCTCTCTGAACAGACCTGAGCCTCTCTGCCCATTTAGTCATTTTGTCAGCCTGTACTTGTTTTTATCAACACATTGGACACTTCTTATATGATCAGCAAGCTAATTTGAATGAAGCAAGGCAGAGCAGTGCCTGAGATCTGGATTAGGGCTGATGACATGTGGGTTACATTTAGGTTTTTTGGGGAGTATTTGTAATTCGTAGAAATAGTGTAATTATTCACAATAAATAGAAGTCAGAGCAGTGTCCTAATAAGGTTGGGCAAGAAGTGTGTGTGTGTGTGTGTGTGTGTGGGTGTGTGTGTGTGTGTGTCGGGACGGACCTGTGTACAAGATGTACACCCTTCTGTGGGCCTCTGAAAGTTTGGAGATTGATGGAATGTGCAAACATTCAAAGTTAGTAGGAACACATTTCTTCTTAGGAAGGAAGTCCTGTGTGCCCAACGTCTTCGCATGAGCAAAGCAAGAATTACAGCATTTTTTTCATTTATTTTTTTTAAAGACCTGTTCATCATTTCAGCTGTGTTCTGACAGCAGGAACCATTTCCAGAAAATGGTGCGTTCAATTGTGCTTCCCCCTCGAAGACCACGGAGCTGGCTCTTTGTTTTCCATGTTATGACTGTCAGGTTGTCGATCTAGAGCTGGTTCTCTGACAGAGAGAGCGTTGCTCCTCCTCCATAGCTGCAGCTGACACAAGTGTTGCTGCTTCTGACTAAAGAAACAAATTGTGCACTAAACCCACAGTCTGTGGCCTTCTACAGCCTATCACTCAGCGAATCCCTTGTTCTACTGTAGGAATACTTGTGTGTTGTTTGCTTTAAAACTCAGCCATTTGAGAGCGCTAGACCCCCCAGTGGCCCGGAAACCCAGGAGATTGTACAGCCAATGCAGAGATCTCAGGTTCCTCACAGTCTATCTAAAACCACCAAAGTTTCCTCAAGTTTCCAACAGATTTCAGATAAATTGTGTCCATCTCATGGTCACATTTATGTCTGGGATTTTCATCACAAAACTCAAAAGCAGACCAGTATTTGAAGCCATAGACTTGCTGTATGGCTTCAAATACTGTATGGCTTCATATTGGTGATCATCACCATGATCACCAATATGATCATGGTGATGATGATCATATTGGCTGTGATTGACCCACATCTTCCCAGCTACTTTTGATTTTTCTGTTATGACAATGTTCCTGTCACTTTCTGTTAGCTTTAGCACCGTGGACACTATTTTATGTGTCAGATAAGGTTGTCCAACTGAGTGGACATATTCTTGGTCCACACAGGGTGGGTGAGTGGTTTGTGCTTGAAATAGAATAACTTCATAAATGTTGCTTTGCGAATGCTCATTTTGGGGGGCAATGTTATACTAAATTGACCTTTTGAGCTTCAGGTTATGTAAAATTTTTATTACCTCATCAAAAACATACTTGGTGTGTTGTCTTGATTCTTTCATGCATGTTTGAGAAACATTTTAATGGCAACCATTGAGCCGTGCAGACTGCCTGGGTGGACCTTCGAGGTGCAGCTTCTCCTCTGAGCTGCAGTTTCTAAGCTTCAGAGCCTCATCCTCACAGAGCCGCTCCTTAAGATTAGCCAGCAGCAATTAGCAAACACATCCTCTGAACTCATTACAGAAACTACTTCTCAGTCCAGCGGTGGTAAACACTTTGTTAAAGGGTGGAGCAGCCATGTTGTGATGTCTTCCTGATGGAGTTTCTTAAAGAGATGGAGGCCCAATTTCAGGGAGCTAAATATTGGAGTCCAATGTCTGCTAAGTCTTTTAACTTAACATATATCACATTTTTATAACAAGTGAAGAGAGAGAGCATCGCCACATGAAGATGTGAAGGACAGCACTTAGATCCTCCTCTCGGCTCTGATTGGTTATTCTCGGTAGCGCTGCCTTCTCGTCTGCCTCTGGGAGAAGGCAGAGGAGCTCATTTTTTCCACATCATCCGTCTCATTCCATACTGACATAATAACAGATTCAACAAATACATGAGTAAAAAAATATCTTTTTGTCAAAGTTGCATACTTGCAGCTTTAAGCAGAGTTGTATGGAAGAGATGAAGCCCAGGAAACCAAACGAGTAGAGACAAGAGAGAGCAGCGAGAATGATAAGATGAAAAGAAACAACAAAGCTCCTAAATAACCGTCCTCTCCTCCCCTCACCTGCCTGTCCTCCTCTTTACCAAAGTGTATAAATTCC